ATGTGTAATGACATTGGAAAATCATACTTGTTCACAATAAGCTTAATAATATATTCCTTTTTTAGCTGAGATATATTACAAAGTAGGGTTTATTAATTTTTTGTTTATTATCACGAGAACCACCACAAATAGGCGGCAAAGAGAGAGAAAGAGAAGAGAAGAAAGAGAGAGAGAGCGGTGAGGTCGTGAGAAGGGAGAAGCACTGAATACAGTCTCTTGCAAGAAGCACTCGATTGGCGGTTTCTTGCTCGCGCAGATTATGGCTCTTTCGTGAACCGCACATAAAAGTCTGTTGGAACATGGGATCTTTTGTCCCAATGGGTTGTTTCGCCATTACCAAACTAAACTGGAGATCAATAGTATGATTGATTGTATATTGAGGGATCTCGCAATCATCTCAAAACTGCAGTATAAAAGTCGAAATTTTGGTTTACTCAAGAAGCTTATGAAACTTTATTGCAGTGCTAATGATGTCCGCTCAAGAACTCTTACCACTTTACGGCAGCTCCGACAACCGACACGACGTGTTGATGCTCGCATCATTAAAACTGGCTTCGACACAGATACGTGTCGCTCCAATTTCACCGTGGAGGACTTACTCAGGAGAGGTCAAGTTTCTGCTGCACGCAAGGTGTATGACGAAATGCCTCACAAGAACACTGTCTCCACCAATACCATGATTTCCGGGTACGTGAAGATGGGTGATCTTTCCAGCGCCCGACACCTTTTCGACGCAATGCCCGATAGAACTGTTGTCACTTGGACTATCTTGATGGGGTGGTACGCTGGCAACAACCACTTCGATGAAGCTTTCAAGCTTTTCCGTCAAATGTGTAGGTCTTGTACCCTTCCTGATTACGTCACCTTTACTACGCTTTTACCAGGCTGCAATGACGGTGTTCCTCAGAACGCGGTCGGTCAAGTTCATGCTTTTGCTGTCAAGTTAGGCTTTGATACCAACCTCTTTCTCACTGTCTGTAATGTTCTGCTTAAGTCCTACTGTGAGGTAAGGCGACTCGATTTAGCCTGTGTGTTGTTCGAGGAGATTCCAGATAAAGACTCTGTAACGTTCAACACCCTTATCACAGGGTATGAGAAGGATGGTTTGTGCGCGGATGCCATTCATCTCTTTCTTGAAATGCGGCAGTCTGGTCACAAGCCTTCAGATTTCACTTTTTCTGGGGTTCTCAAGGCTGTTGTTGGGTTACACGATTTTGCTCTTGGTCAGCAACTCCATGGTCTGTCAGTTACTACCGGCTTTTCCTTGGATGCTTCTGTTGGGAATCAAATTCTTCATTTCTACTCCAAACATGACCGTGTTCTTGAAACTAGGAATCTTTTTAATGAAATGCCTGAGTTGGATTTTGTTTCTTACAATGTGGTCATCTCAAGCTATTCACAGGCTGAGCAGTACGAGGAATCCCTCAACTTGTTTAGAGAAATGCAGTGCATGGGGTTTGATCGCAGAAACTTCCCTTTCGCTACGATGCTGAGCATCGCAGCTAACTTGTCATCCTTGCAGGTGGGTCGACAAGTGCACTGCCAGGCCATCGTGTCAACGGCTGATTCAATCCTTCATGTTGGGAATTCTTTAGTAGATATGTATGCAAAATGCGAAATGTTCGACGAAGCTGAGTTGATATTCAAGAGTTTATCACAACGGAGCACCGTTTCCTGGACTGCCTTGATCTCAGGTTACGTTCAGAAAGGGCTTCATGGAGCTGGGCTTAAGTTGTTCACCAAGATGCGAGGAGAAAATTTACGAGCAGACCAATCAACTTTTGCTACTGTATTGAAAGCTTCCGCTAGTTTTGCTTCTCTGTTACTGGGGAAACAACTCCATGCATTCATAATCAGATCAGGGAACTTGGAAAATGTCTTCTCCGGAAGTGGCCTGGTTGATATGTACGCCAAATGTGGTTCTATCAAAGATGCAGTTCAAGTATTCGAAGAGATGCCCGATAGAAATGCAGTTTCCTGGAATGCTTTGATTTCTGCATACGCTGATAACGGAGATGGAGAAGCAGCTATTGGTGCATTTACAAAGATGATTCAATCTGGTCTCCAGCCAGATTCAGTCAGCATCCTAGGCGTCTTGATTGCATGTAGTCACTGTGGATTTGTTGAACAAGGAACAGAATTTTTCCAGGCAATGTCTCCAATCTATGGGATAACTCCAAAAAAAAAACATTATGCATGCATGCTGGATTTGCTTGGTAGAAACGGAAGATTTGCAGAAGCAGAGAAGTTGATGGACGAAATGCCCTTTGAGCCAGATGAAATTATGTGGTCATCAATTTTGAACGCATGTCGGATTCACAAGAATCAAAGCCTTGCTGAGAGAGCAGCAGAGCAGCTCTTCAGTATGGAGAAACTCAGGGACGCCGCTGCTTATGTAAGCATGTCAAACATCTATGCAGCGGCTGGGAAATGGGAAAACGTTAGGCATGTGAAGAAAGCAATGCGCGAACGCGGAATCAAAAAGGTTCCGGCTTATAGCTGGGTTGAAGTTAACCACAAGATTCATGTGTTCTCATCAAATGATCAAACACACCCAAACGGAGATGAGATTGTGAGAAAGATCAACGAATTGACAGCTGAGATTGACAGAGAAGGGTATAAGCCTGATACGAGTTCGGTAGTTCAAGATATAGATGAGCAGATGAAGATTGAGTCGCTTAAATACCACAGTGAACGTTTAGCTGTTGCATTTGCTCTGATCAGTACACCAGAAGGGTGTCCGATTGTTGTGATGAAGAACTTGAGGGCCTGCAGGGATTGCCATGCTGCAATAAAACTAATATCGAAGATTGTAAAGAGGGTGATAACTGTAAGGGATTCAAGCAGATTCCACCACTTTAGTGAGGGGGTCTGTTCTTGTGGTGATTACTGGTGACTCGGCATTATATAGAACAAAGTTCTAGTAGGTCTGCTTCATTCATTATTTTTTCGATTTTTTTTCTTTGGTCTTAGGATTTAGATTTTGTACCCTTAACTGATGTTGTAGCAGTCCTAAATCATATATTCAAATAGGAAAACTTATTGTTTTCCAATACATCTCCCATCAAATTACATTACGTTACACAAGGAGAATGGGAGTTTTGCTTCCTAATACCAGTCTGACAAGAATCATAACATCAAACTATTACTTTCAGACCTTGCAGGTTGCACCTAGAATTTTCGCAAAGAGGCAGCGATGTAACCAGTCGGGCGTTCTGAGACTGCTTCACAAGTGTCCTTTTGCCCTTTTGAAGCTGTAAAGGTCCATGTTCAGACACAGCCTGGATTTGCCAGGGGAATGTCTTATGGATTTCCCAAGTTTATCAAGTCTGAAGGTCTTGGAGGGTAACCTTTTGTGTTACCATTTACTTTCTCACTCGTCTTAAGACTAACCATTGTGCCTGATTTCTTTTTCTTTTCTACTTCTTTCAGTTTGTACAAGGGAATTGGTCCACTCTGGGGCGTCAGATTCCTTGTAAGTTGTGGCCTCAGCTTTGCAATTTTCGCATAGTATGATTTGGCCTCATAAAATGCTTTATTGGCTCTTTTAGTTGCAAAATGTGATAAGAAAATCTACCTTTGTAACAGACACAATGATGAAGTTTGCTTCTTTTGAGACCATTGTGGAGATGATCTACAAGTATGCAATTCCGAGGCCAAAGGACCAGTTCAGCAAGGGTCTACAACTAGGGGTGAGTTTCGCAGGAGGTTACGTTGCTGGCGTGTTCTGTGCTATAGTCTCTCATCCTGCTGATTATTTAGTGTCCTTCCTCAACAACGCCAGAGGAGCAACTGTTGGAGATGTAAGTCTCTCTGTTTCTTTCTGTAATAAAATGCAACTTTTAATATTACCACCTAGTGTTCTAACCATGATCCTTTCAACAGGCGGTGAAGAAGATAGGGCTGTTGGGTCTATTCACAAGAGGGCTGCCTCTACGAATTGTGATAATAGGAACATTGACCGGAGCGCAGTGGGGTATCTACGATGCTTTCAAAGTCTTTGTTGGCCTGTAAGTCCCTTCTTTTTGCAGCTATTCTGTTTCAGAGGTTCTCCTTCTCAACCGCTAATGAAACTCTCTTTTCTTTCAGTCCAACAACTGGTGGTGTTGCTCCAGCAGCTGCCATCACTCCTGCTGAAGCAAAGGCTTAAACAATGACGAAGAACAAAGGGTCTCTTACGCTAGCATTTCTCTACACAATGAAACTGGCCGAGCTTTTATATATCTTCAAATCAATCAACGAGGGCGGAATATAGATTCATTTGCCTAGTTTCTGTCTATGACCCGATTAATCCTTTCCTTGTACTGCAAAACAATCTTCCACAATATGAACCAACAGACTGAATAATCTCGGGGTACCAGACATTTATCTTCTGGAAAAATTTATCAGACACTTCCAAGTCAGGACATGGGCTGGTTAAAATACCAAGTACTCAGACCGGATCAGATTGGTCAGAGTCGATGTATTTTAAAACAATTCACTAAAGGTGCAAAACCGAAGAATTCTGAAACAGTCCTGTGCACTTTAAAAACACTAAAGTGTTGTATAAATCTTACAAGTTCGGAAACTGTGTTTTAACTGCCCAACAATTCATCTTTCTCGGCTTCATAACCATTTGATTACTTACCTCTTCTTCTTGCTTCTTCCTTTGGCTGAGTTGGATTTTGACGGTGTAGCTCTCAGGTAAGTGAACAGAACCACGAACGAGATTACCGAAATGAGCGGATCAGTATTTTAAAGAGTTTAGCCATGATCTACGATTTCTTCTCTCTCCAGCTGCTGTGCTGTTGTTTCTCCGACTCTGATATTTTTCGGAGACCCGGAATCATCATGGGCCAAACTGAAAGCCCATTAAAGGTCAAAATAATTTATTCTTGGGCCTCTTGTAGCTATATACGATAACAACTGTTTGATGTGTGACAAGGGTTTCATTTGAGAATACTGGAGAGGAAGATCCTCGTTTGAGAAAACGAGCACACCCACCTCACACCTCTTCCGCCGCAGACTCGATTTCAGTCTTCATTGTTGCTGGATCCTCTCCTCCGGCGAACTGCGTCGAAATAGAAAGTACAGGTATATTCCTCAAGCTGCATAGAGCTTTCTTTTTGAAGTTTTGGATTTACAAATATTGGGGATCAGATCCAATCAGATTGAGTTTTTTGTGTTTGGGTATCCACATTGGAAGTTTATGCATAGTTTCTGGGTCGAATAGGCCTGTAAATGGGTAACAAACGGATTTCAGTTGCTGAATCGTAGTAAATTGTAGATTTGAACCTGAAACCATCCGATTTGTGTTCTTGTCGCGAAAGTAGAGCTTGTCGAACTGGGTAGAATTCAACCTGAAACTATTGAAACTGATATATGTAGTATGACTAGTTAGACTAGTATTACTGATATATGTATGTAGTATGACTAGTTACACTAGTATTACTATAAATGTAGTAGAACTAGTAAAACTAGTATTACTGACAAAGTTTTTGTATTGTTTTGGCAGGATACAATGAAGGAGAACGTGATCATATATTTTAAATGCGAAGGTTGTATGTATAGTTTGATGATGAAGACATCATGGGAGAAGATAACTCTCTCCATGTTAGAAGGTAGGATATACACGAAACTTGGGTTAGATGAAAGTAATGTTAAGTTACAAATGAGGTACAATGCACTGCTATTGGAACCAGAGGAAGAGATTCACATTTGTGATGATGAGGATGTCAGTGTTTATATAACTTCCGTTGAAAATAACCGTAGATATGTTTTGTATGTGGAGGTTATCACTAAACCAGAATTGTCGGAACAACTGTCGAGAGTGGATAAAAGTTCTGTTGGTAAGAACTATGCGGAATCGGATTCAAATGAGGATGAAATCAGAGATAATGCCATCAATTTCTACGTAGACAAGGAAAAAAGAAAACGACAACATGGAGCAATAGAAGAGGATGATTCTATTCAAGAGGGTGAAATTGTACCTCCGCCTCCTAAAAAAAAAGTAGGGAAGAAGTAAGGTAAAAAGGTTTTCTTCGGTTGGAGAAAGGCGTCCAAGGGCGCAAAACAAAAGGCGACTGAGGCAATGATGTCAATAATTGTTATTTGACAATTGTAGTGTTTGATTTTATCTACAGATTTTGTTTTGTAAAATATTTACGACTTGGCAAACTATGTAACATTGGTTTTCTGTTATTTAATACTATGATTTGTTTATGTGGTAATTGGGTAGTACTGGTAGAACCCTTGTTTGAAAAATCGCTAGGCGCTAGTCGGGCGCTTGGTATGGGCCTAGCGATTAATCGGAAAATCGGATTAAAATCGGGGATTAATCGGGGATTAGTTTTAGGTTTTTTTTAATCATATATATAACATTTATGCAAAATTTACTAATATGTTGGTGTGTTTAATGTTATAGTTTGAAGAAACTCTACTCAAAATTTATTAATTTTATTAACAATATATTAAATATCTAAATTACACTTTTTAGTTTATTAACGTGTAATTTATTAACAAGATATTTCTTTTATTATTACAAAATAAACTGTGGAGGCAAGGTAAAAGATTATGCATTCAAAACAAAATAATATAATTAAAAATAAGGGATACATGAATGGGGAGAATAAACCGTAAGCATGTAATTGTTGGAAGAAGAAAAAGACAAAAAGCAAGTAATACAAAAGTCCCACATCGGTAAGGAGAGGAAGAGTTGTTGGAAACATTGCTTATATAAATAATACTTGAGGGTTCTCATTCTAAACAGACAGTGGGCTTTGGGTAATTAAGGCCCACAACGTTTTAAAAAAAGTCCAGTTTTTTTTTCATTAATCGGTTAATTTTCCGATTTTCAACGTTTAATGGTTAATTAATCGGTCAACGATTAAAATGGCCGATTAGACCATAATCGTGGCGGTTAAGCTGCGCCGAGCGCCTAGGCGGGCGATTAATCGCCTAGGCGCCCGCGTTTTTGAACAGGGGGTAGAACTAGTGTAACTTTATCTCTTATACTTTTAAACTCACTTTGTGTCTAATAACCAACTTAGGATGAAAAATTTACAAAATTTTTTTTTTTTTAACATATGAATAGAGAAAACACTCAGAATTCTATGTGTATCGACTTCAATCAATTGTACAACTAGAAAAACAAATTTGAAGGGTACGTAATACTGATTTAAATGAAGAACAGCAAAAGTATAACTATGTGGAACTTTGGTACAACTACTATCTTGGATATAACTATGTTTAAAAAAGGCTGCGCACTGGTGGAAACAACGGTGCGCACGTGGATAAAATTCCCCCCAAAATAAAAAATTTGAAATTTTCCCCAATTTTTTTGGGTTTTTCCCCCAAATTTTATATTTCCTCCAATTATTCTTAGTATTACTACTTTTACCAGTATTGCTATTATTCCTAGTATAACTAGTATTATCAGTATTCCATCATAGTTTAACAAGACATAAAATCAAACAAAGTATTACGTGTAGGTGTGAAATGAGAAAACAAAGTCTTCTCGCACATGTGTAATTTGACGTCGAACATAATTTTACCTAGTAATACTAGTATTACAAATCCAAAAACAAAACAAACAACATAATTTCACCTAGTACTACCAGTAGAACAAATCGAAACAACCACCATAAGACGAAGATATAATGAAGATGGTATATTCTTTATGAAGACGCTTCATCCAGATAAACAATGTCATGTGGACGTAAACAATGAAGAAATTTTAAAAACATAGCAACCAAAACTAATTCATATCATCCACCGCTCTTAGAAAGAATGGCTCCACAGACGTAGTATCTTCTCCAGTCATTTCACTTTTCTTCATTTCGAGCATTCGATTTCGGGTAAGCTTTTGTTTTATTTCGATTGTCTATGTTTTCGATCTGGTTGATTTGCCAAGTATTACTCGTAGTATAAATTCAAATTAAAAAAAGCAAACACCATAGTTTTACCAAGTATTACCAGTAGTGCGAATTCAAAACAAAAAATACACAACATAGTTTTATAATCTCAATAATACGAAATCAAATACATAACTGTCAATCCAAACAACCACCATAAGAAAAAGATAGTCTTCACACCACATATTTCCTTAACCTTGTAACTCGCCTGCCTGGTGGGTCTGAAAGACTAGCATGCTCATTTGGTGGGTCTAAGGAATCAGTAGTATCCTCTAGTATTACCAAGTTCCTTTGAAGTTATTATTTATCCTCTATTTTGGGGAATCAGCAATCAATTATTGTTATACTTTCTTCATAAATTTCTCAAAAGACTAATAATTATACTTAGTTATACCAGCATTATAAATAAAATCCAACTAGTTTTATCTAGTTCTACCAGTACTACAAAAAACACACTAGTTGTACCTATTTATACTAGTATTACAAACCCATAAATTTTTGTTCAATTCCAAATGACATCACAATACTCTTCCTAACCAAAACGAATTAGTTTCCCTAGTTCTATACATTAAATCGAATCCAAGTACTTACCATTGAGTCGATGGGGTCGCTCACGGTTTGGCTTGGACTTCTTCCCGAGTTAGTTCTTCTCTCGTCCTTACTCTTTCTTCACTCGGTCTGACTTCCTCATCACCAATTTGAATCGGAGATAGCTCGCTGTCATCTTCTTCTTCACTTGTTCCGACTTCCTCACCATTACCAACCGGAGATCGCTCCCTCCCATCTTCATCAATCGTTCGGACTTTCTCAACATTCTGAACCTTGTCCTAGCCATCTTTATGCACAATAATTGATTGAACATAACAAGAGATCTCAGACAACAATCAATCCAACACAACAATTAAAGAAAAAGAAAGAGGAGTAGTTTTCCCTAAATTCTCGAGAGAAGGAAAGACGAGGAGGTAAAGAGAAAACGATTTTGATTTTGTAAGATTAGGAATTGAGAAAATCAATTTTAGTTAATTTATTATATAAATTGGGTTAGATCCAATAGGGTTTCGGATGGATGGATAAAATCCATGTATTCTGTGTAATTTTAAAAGATTTGTAAGGGTATAGTCGTAATTGACTTATTTTGGAATTAAAAAAAAAATCAAAGCGAAATTCAGTTTATAACAGGAAGTTTTGAGCTTTTCTTTTGACAAATAGGGACTTCCCAGACGATTTCTCTCTTCGTTTCGGCTGGAAAAGGCAAAAGAAAACAAAATGTTCGTTTAATTTCTCCATGGACACACTACCACAGCTACTAGCTTCTTCTTTCATATGCTCTCTGCCGTCAGATTATGCAACGGAGAGAAGCACAAGCAACCCCTTGGAGAAACCTTACCGCCGGCACGCCGATTCTCTGCTTATGTCACCGCTTTTAGCTCGAGGCTTGTGGACTATGAACAGCCATTCGTTAAGGGCTTCTGGGAATACCTCGAGGCGGCTAAGGATTTCATCAGACCGGAAGACAACAGCCCGTCTCGCTGGTTCTCTCCCCTCAAAAAAAGCAAGGATCCATGTGACGGCGCCCAGCTGCTTCTGTTCCTACCTGGTTAGTTCCGATTAATTGAGTTAGCTATGTACCGACGGAAATGTGCAATTTGTGCTTGCTCAAATTCAGATATGTAGGTATCGACGGAAATAGACTCGGGCTAATAAGGCAGCACCAAAAACTTGGACAGCGAGTGCCCCCCCCCCCCCCCCCCCCCCCCCTCAAAGGACGTTTCTATCCTTAAGTTTTTCTTTCTAATACTCGTAGTTGATTCTGCTGAGCTATATGTTTGCTTTTTCAAAGATGTTTTATATCTGGTGCTTGCACATACCACTGAGCAATCACACTTCATTCACATGTATTTCATCTATTTTAAATTATTTGGTGCTTGAACATACCACCGAGCAATCACACTTCATTAACTAAAAAGTATATTTTACGGTTATATTTTTTAGAAAATTTCAATCATAGTAACTATCTTCTACGGTTGTGCTTTTAATCATAATTCTTCATAAACGTTTGCTACCGTTAAGTTGAATCATTACAACATTTAGTTTATTTCACAAACAATTGCAATTTTTGGTTTATTTTATAAATCATTATAACATTGATCTATTCAAACAAAAAATATATATTTACGATTTCATTTTTTAGAAAGTTTGAATCCGAATAAATATCTTCTACGGTTGCGTCTTTTTATCGTAACTCTTCATAAATGGTGGCAACCGTTTAGTTCAATCATTGCACCATTTAGTTTATTTCACGAACAAATGCAACTTTTGGTTTATTTTATAAATCGTTATAACAATTATTTATTTACAATCGCGTCTCTCATTGTAACTTTTCATAAACTATCATTTTAACTTTTTAATTACAAAAATGTATTTAATTAAAATTATAACTATTTAATTGAATTGTTGCAACTTTGGTTTTGTTTTATGAACTGTTGTAATCTTTAGGTTATTTGACGAACCATTGTAACATTTAATATATTTGACAAACCATTGCAACTTTTGTTGTATTTGATATTTATAATCGTTTATTTCGGTTTCAGTTCTTCATATTTTAAAAAAAATTTAATTACTAAAATATATTTAAATGACTTGGTGCTACCGTTTAATTCAACATAGTAAAATTTAGTTCATTTGACCAACCAATGAACATTTTGGCTTATTTGACGAACCGTTGTAATCTTTGGTTTATTAGGATATTGGAGTGTAGATGATTTAAATTCAGCTGTACTGGCAAAACAATTATGGCGGTTGATTACGGTTCCAAACTCACTCTTTGCGAGGGTTTTCAAAGGACGGTATTTTCGGAAATCCAATCCTCTGGATAATATAAAATCATACTCTCCATCCTATGGATAGAAAAGTATCAGTTCAGCTAGATCTCTGGCTAATAAAGGACTTATTAAAAGAGTCGGTTCTGAGGCGTTCATCTCAGTATGGGAGGATCCGTGAATTCCAGCTCAATTCCCGAGACCAGCAATAAGTAATGGTTCAATTTCTGATTCATCTTTAAAAGTCAAAAATCTTATAGACATCCAGTCATATTTTTGGAATATTGATCTCTTGAAGGAGCTCTTTGATCCGCTAGATGTCCCGCTCATAAGTGTCCTGCCTTTGGATGCGTCAACTAAGGAGGATACTCTAACTTGGCATTTCACAAAATCTGGAAAAATATACAGTTAAATCAGGATATTATACGGCGCGATTAGAAAATTTGGTTGACAATTTATCTTTTGTTGGGCTAGATAACAAATCACTAAAAGCACATACTTGGAAAGTGCAGTGTCCGCCAAAGTTACGTCATTTGTTGTGGCAAATATTATCAGGTTGTGTGCCCGTTACGGAAAATTTGCGGAAAAGAGATATAAATTGTGATACAGGATGTGTCAGATGTTGCACTTTAGAGAAAACAATCAATCATATACTCTTTCAATGCCATCCAGTGCGATAGATATGGGTACTTTCACAGATTCCTGCGGCTCCCGGAAATTTTTCCTCGGTTTCTATTTTGGAAAATACCTTCAGAAGTCGATCCATGGATAATTTGGTATGTTTGGAAAGCAAGGAATGAAAAGATCTTTGATAATGTGGATAATGATCATTTATAGGTATTACGTTTAGCAGAAAAAGAGGCACAATCGTGGCACTTAGGTCAAGTCAAGCTTCATACTGAAAACTATGGTTCTTCGGATTTGGAAACTCGAACTCGAGTGAGGGATATTTCACATGATACCACTTATTCCGGATATCGTTGCTTTGTGGATGGATCTTGGAAAGGAAGTGATAAGTTTTCAAGAACAGGGTGATTCTGTACATCATCAAATGGAGAGTCGTCAACTATGGGATTTGCCAATCTCCGTAGAAGTTTATCTCCACCACATACATAAGTGGAAGCTCTTCTCTTGGCGACGAAGTGTATGATTGGTGCCGACAACCAAGATGTAGTTTTTTTATAGACTGTTTAGACCTGGTGAAAACGGTGTCTTTCCCAACCAAATGACCTGCATTTTCAGTGAATTTGGAAGAGTTTCAGAGCGACAATAAAGAATGGGAAAAATGTCGGAAAATGCGCGAACTTTCAAATTTGGGACAAAAAAATCATGAACTTTCGAAATGTCATTTAAATCATAAAGACAACAAAAGTTCGTGCTTTTTTTGTCCCAAATTTGAAAGTTCGCGCATTTTCCGACATTTTTCCCAATAAAGAATTCACAAACTTCTCTTTATTTTTAAGCTCTCGATGTGCAAATATTAAAATGGATCATTTAGTATGAAAAGTTCGTAGCGAACCGCATCATATCACATATAAAACAATATTCTTAAGAAATCACTTGTTTGAGAGCTTCTTAATAACTTTTAACCCAAAAAAAAAAAATACTGCTTATGTTTATCATTCAAATCTGTCGCTTCATTTTAACAATATATATGTTATTGGCCTTGTTCTAAAAATCGGCCGCCTAGCCGCCTAGGCGCTGATCGGGTGGGGACCGCGGCGATTTTGTCCAAATCGGTAAAAAAATCGGTGATCCGATTTTTGGCCGCCTAGACCGCCTAGGCGTCCGCCTAGCCCGCCTAGACGGCGCCTAGCCCAATTTTTTTTTTTTTTTTTTACATTTTTTTTTTTCTTTTATTGGATCTAAAATTCAAAACGTCTCACTTATATTCATAATTTTTTATAAAAATCATAAATTTGACCTTAAATTCTTGTTTTCATGTGTTTAATGCAATTTTAAAAACAAGATTATATAAATTTCTTATTTATAATGGATTAATATATTTTTAAAACATTAAATAGCCGTAAAACTAATCCCCGATTAATCCCCGTGTAATCTCCGATTTTCTTGCTAGGCGCTAGGCGCACCCTCACCGCCCGACTAGCGCCTAGCGATTTTTTGAACACGGGTTATTGGTAACCATTTTCATTATCCATTTTTAATTACTTATACAAAGATCATATTTAATTACTTAGAAATAAAAAGTGTATGTTTGATAAGAATGGGTTATAGCATTTCCACGCGCACGATCAGCCGTCCGTTCATTGACTTAAACCTAATCAAATTTGATTGGTATTTTTTGTCAGCTTATAATGAGTCATTAGTTATTTAATTTTTTTTTGGGACAATCAAACTCTATATATTAATTCACATATAAGAACTCTTTTTTCTAAAGAAAGCCAATCGGATTATTTAATTACTTTCTTGGTTTTGATTAATGCATAAAATAATTACTAATATCAACAATAAGTGTCACGTCAACAACCGAGTCTCTCATTCTCATTTCTCCCCTTCACATCTCTCATTTTCGTTCCCCTGAAAACATTAGACTTAGCTTATTTAAAAATTCTTGTTCGAACTCACTCAAATTTCATATGGATGGAACTTATTTAAAGTGGTAGACTATTAGTTAATTACATAAACAAAATAGTCTACCAACTTCTAAAATTGTTCTTAACTAATCACGATCATTTTTCTCTAACTACAACAATGACGTCCCCCGATGCTTAATATATCTATAGACTTGCACATTACCTTCCTTACCTTAGCTAAAAGTCCTAATAAAATTTCACATTACTTAATGGGTTTTGTGCAAAACAACCATCAAAGTCGTCTATTTTTGCAACTTTACCCTCCACCTCCGAAAAATGCAGGATAATTCTACGAAGTTAAAAATAATACGCAATATAACCTTTTTGTTATTGTTAAATTTTTAAAAATTTGATAAGTAATATATCAAATCGAAGCCCTCAAGATAAGGAGTTCAACTCTACCTTTAGATTTTTAAAAATCAAATGTATGTGATCGTGAATACGTTTACAATATATATATAAGGGCTTTATTGCGTATTATTTTTGATTTCGTATGATTATTTTGCATTTTTCGGAGATGGAGGGTAAAGTTACAAAATTGGACGACTTTGAGGGTTTTTTTCCACAAAACCCTTACTTTATCTTATCATACAAGACGACCTTTGTCGACATTTCTAATGGATTATGACTTCTCAAAAAAATTTCAAGCATCAACCTTCCATCTTTCAAAGTTGGTATGATTGATACATATTTTCCGTGGTCATGACCCAGCTCTTGCATAAAACTGTAATCACATTATCTCCTTCGTTGTTTCCGTCATACCAATATATATATAGTCATTTCACAACTTGATACAGCTACGATATTCTAACAAATATAATACTACGAAAAGAGTAAATCAATATGAGATTTTTTTTTTTTTTTGTGTCGAATATGTTATTGGAATGTTTTTGTCAACTTAATTCTCTAACCGCTTTCACCATAGCCACTAAAATATATGTTAACCACTGTAACTAGTAAGAGATTTGTTTTCTTATTGTTGACTTGCTCAAACAAATTCTCAAGTGCAAAGGTATTTTATACACTAATTATAAATTAAACATCCGTATAAGTCCATGCTTTAGGGATCGATACAGCACAATGATAGTTCTCCAAGTTATTTAATGTTTTCTTACATTTATAACAAACTCACGTCACAACTTGATAGATCTATGATATTTTGTTACTTTGAAACCCAACAAATTTTAGTACCACCAAAAGTGTAAACATACTTTGATATATAGAAGACTATTTTTGTTATCTGATTTTTCTTTGTCAAATTGTTATTTGAATATATGTTTTTTCAACTTGTTATTCTCCAACTGCTTCCTCCAACCACTAAAAAAAATTGATAACCGCTTTTATAAAAACTTATAACCAATCATAATAGCAAGTGTAGTAAGATTTTTTTTTTTTTTAATTGTAGACTTGCTCAAATAAATCCTCAAATGCAAAGGTCTCCTATACACCAATTATAAATTAAACATATGTATAAGTCCCTAGATTTGGGATTGATACATGACAAATATATTTTCTCCTAGTTGTTTCTTTTTCTTGCATTCATTATGTTCTTCATAAGTATATATTAATAACATAATAGATACAGGTGAACCCGGATTCATCTCCCCACAGGGATTTGTATAGTTCTGATCTTCTTCCTTTTATATAATAGAAATATTAGGATGTATTGAATTACCAATGACTAAATGCAGATTTTAACTCATGCTTAACATATACAGAGAAAGACAAAGTTTTCTTTAAGCTCTATAATTAGCTGGTCATATCCATGGGTATCAAGACCTGGTTACAAAAAAAAATACTTTATTCTAAAGATAATTATAATGTTTTATTGGTTGACATTTAATTATATCCATTACTTGTCATGATGCTATATATAATACACACATCAAACTCATCTCAATCATTCCTTCAATACTCTCACATTACTTATCCGATTTTAATTAAGATTAATTAGTCTATTGATAAAGTCGCTTAGTGATCAAAAATGGAAGCCATGGGAGAATGGAGCACCGGCCTAGGCGGAATTTATACAGAGGAAGCTGACTTTATGAATCAGCTCCTTGCATCCTATGAGCAACCTTGTGGCGGTTCATCTTCAGAGACAACCGCCACACTCGCGGCCTACCACCACCAGGGTTCTCATTGGAATGGAGGCTTTTGCTTCTCCCAAGAGAGCAGCAGTTATAGTGGTTATTTCACGGTGATGCCACGGCAGGAAGAAGACAACAATGGGATGGAAGACGCGACAATCAATACGAACTTGTACCTGGTTGGTGAAGAGACAAGTGAATGTGATGTGAGGGAATACTCCGGTAAAAGCCTCTTTCCTTTGGAGACTGTCGCAGAAAACCACGACCATAGTATGCTACAGCCTGAGAACTCCTTGACAAAGACCACTGATGAGAAACTGTTCAACCCATGTGAGAGTTCTAAGAAGAGGACTCGTGCCACATCAACTGATGTAAGTTGTATAAAAGTTTTTTGTTTATTTCGGAAACATGGAGTTTCATCGCAAAACACAATTAGCAATGAGTGGATTGGCATATGTACATTTTCGATATGAAATGTTAACAGTTTTATATAGCCGGGTGATTACACAGACTAATTTCCAAAATTTGTAGCCGAAACCATAATTCTAAATATTTTTTATGTTTTTCTAACCAAAACAGAAGAATAAGAGAGCCAACAAGGCACGGAGGAGCCAAAAAGGCATAGAGATGAGTGGCGATAATGAAAATATCGGCGAAGAAGAATATACGGAGAAGGCTGCGGGGAAGAGAAAGACCAAACCACTTAAGCCGCAAAAGACTTGTTGTTCGGATGACGAATCAAACGGTGGAGACACTTTCTTGTCCAAAGAAGATGGCGAGGACTCTAAGGCTCTCAACCTCAATGGCAAGACAAGGGCCAGCCGCGGCGCTGCCACAGATCCTCAAAGCCTTTACGCTAGGGTAAGTTTTACATAAATTCCTATATTAAAGGTTTTTTCAGTCTTTATATACTTACATTATGTAAAAAAAAAAAACATTTATTGTGACTGAAACAATTAAACAAAGTCCATTTTTATGATGGTGCAGAAAAGAAGAGAGAGGATAAACGAGAGGCTAAGGATTTTGCAACATCTTGTCCCTAATGGAACAAAGGTACATACATTACTACGTAACCACATCATTTTTTACTCGTTTTTCGTCTCATTACTAAGTAAATTAAATGTGTTAAATATGTAACAGGTTGATATAAGCACGATGTTGGAAGAAGCAGTACAATACGTCAAATTTTTGCAGCTCCAAATTAAGGTACGTGTACGTTAGGTTTTCAATGATTTGAAGTCTTATAATATAAACAATGAAAAAAATTGTATTAATTAAAGATAGAGAATTAAATATTGTTTATAATGAATAATGTTATATTATACAGTTATTGAGCTCTGATGATCTTTGGATGTATGCGCCCATTGCTTACAACGGAATGGACATTGGCCTTGACCTAAAACTCAATGCACTGACCAGATGATTCAAGAGACACCTTCGGATTTTAATTTTATTTTTTTTTGTTTATATATTTATAAATAATTTAATACGAGAGATATGAAGAGTCACATTTGACGTTTTATACTCCAATATTATTTTACTTTTGTATGTCGAGTTATGTCCAACAGTTTTTGATTCTTGAGATATATATTGGTGTACGAACATCTTTTTGATAATGGATTTGTTTATTTTATTTCTTTTTTTGTTTGAATTATTTGATTCGTTTACGTCATACACGTAAATGATTTAATCAGAATTTAATACTCTAAGGCGCTTAATCTCCTTTGGATTTTATGCTTAAGCAGAATTTAATAATACTCATAGGATGCATTCGGGACTTTTAACATATTTCTGATCTTTTATAAACCATATTTAGACCTAAAGACATGACAAGGGAAAAAGTTGAAGGAAGAAAGAGCCGACCAGTCGGTCAATGATCTGACCTTGTTCGAGAACCTGGTATATAAGATGAATGTTGAGTTTCCAAACCCTAATTAATCAAGTTTGATTAGTAAAATATCTTTTGGGTTTATAACTTATCTTTGTAAAAACATGATCAATATCGTGATCTCCCTCTGCCAATCTAGAAACATTACTTATCTCATCCTTCATTATGTGATTTATGATATGTCTTCTTCCATTCTAGCTACTAGTCTCCTTCCAAATATTAATTAAGAAAGTGTGTAGTTTTCTAACTTGGGTCTTAGGGTAGATCATTGGTTAGTTTGGATTGATGATTTTAGGGTTAGGACACTTCAGATTCATTCAATAAAGGGTAAGGTTAATAGTAAGAAAAAAGAAAAAAACTTGATTACATTGTCTTTGAAAATAAGATATTTTGTGCACCATGAATATTCAATCAAAACGGAATGAGTATACAATTTTAATAAATGGGAGTTGATGTTAAGAAATATTAAGATCTTTTTGGATTTGAGTGTTAACGTTTGTTAATATATCACTTATATTACAAATGAGATTTTAGTAGGTATAGGTGATTAAAATCTTAAAAGATGATTAGCTACAAAGTAATTATCCATTTTTAGGATTGTGCTTTAATTAGGCCATTGTTGGGGTCGGATTCCACCCGTACTAAGATCGACCCAAACCGTAACATTTCGGGTACATTGACAGCCAGCTCGGGCCATCTTCCAAATCGGCACCATCAATTTTGCTCATTTTTTTTATTTATCATTGTTATAGCCAAACTCATCAATCAACAAATAACTATTACGTTTTTCAAGAGTTCTTTCATCAAACTGGAGAAAACTGTCAATTTTGTTGCTTTTTCCGTTATCTTGATTATAACTGAAACTTCTCAATCAACAAATGATTTGTACGTTTATCAAGAGCTCTTCTATCAATTATGCTGCTTTATCTGTAATCATGGTTATAGCAAAACTCATCAATCAGCAAAAGACTTCTAAGTTTATCAAAAACTCTTTCACCAGGGTGCAGAAAAGGAAAAACGGCCTATTCCTCCCCAAACTAGGTTGCTTTGGCTAATTCATCCCTGAAACTTTGTCTCGTGCCTAAACCCACATGAACTAACATAGAGTTTGAATTTCCTCCCTGAACAAAACAAATCCAGACTAAACCCACAAATCGTTAAACGCCGTTATTGTTCCGTTAACGAACATCTGACTAGGATGCCACATCATCGTTCTAAGCGTCTGTGTTTTGAGGAGAAAACGGCCTATTCCCCCATAAACTAAGTTGTTTTGGCTAATTCATCCCTGTAATTTTATCTCATGCCTAAACCCACATGAACTAACATAAAAATTGAATTTCCTACATGAACAAAACAAATCCAGACTAAACCCACAAATCGTTAAACGATGTTACTGTTTCGTTAATGACCAGCTGCTAAACGATGTTACTGTTCCGTTAATGACCAGTTGACTAGATCTTGTGAATACAAGTGCATAAAGTAGTAGTGAGTTTTTTTTCAGTAAGTAGGCGATGCCTTTTCTAGGTCTTCTCTCGTTTTTATATAGATACTCTTCTTAGGTTATTCGGTCCGAGGTCCGCATTAACCTCTCCTACATCACAGGTCCTTGCCGAGATCCTCGCCTGACTTAGTCCTGATTCGGAGCCAGCTCCGCTTCTCTTCACTATGGGCTTATGAGCCTAACGTATCTCCCACTTGTTATTTTTGTTGGTGGATTCGGAGGTGCTGAATCCAACTCCAACTAAACATGTTCAAGCAAACAATATAATCTGAAATAGAACATCATATTATTCCAAAATGATATTATAATCTGAGAATTAATCCAAAATTTACATCATATTCTGATAATTAATCAAAAATTACATCATAATCCAAGTACACATCTGAAAATTCATCAAAATCCTAGAATTCATACCCTAAAACACCTTTAATCCCAGCAACTGTCTATTCAATTAGGTTCTTCATCCATAAATTTAGTCCAGATTTGTTATGTGCATGTAGGAAATTCAAACTTTATGTTAGTTCATGTGGGTTTAGGCATGAGATAAAATTACAGGGATGAATTAGCCAAAACAACTTAGTTTATGGGGGAATAGGCCGTTTTCCCCTCAAAACACAGTCGCTTAGATAGATGATGTGGCATCCTAGTCAGATGTTCGTTAACGGAACAATAACGGCGTTTAACGATTTGTGGGTTTAGTCCGGATTTGTTTTGTTCAGGGAGAAAATTCAAACTCTATGTTAGTTCATGTGGGTTTAGGCACGAGACAAAGTTTCAGGGATGAATTAGCCAAAACAACTTAGTTTGGGGAGGAATAAGCCGTTTTCCCGTGCAGAAAACCAGAGATTTTTCTCTTTTTTTTTCTTCTTTATCATTGTTTTAGCCAAACTAATCAATCAGCTAATGATTTATACGTTTATCAAGAGCTCTATCGTCATATTGCAGAAAATCTTCAATTTTACTACTTTTTTTTTGTTATCATGGTGATAGCCAAACCCCGTAATGAGCAAATGATTTATACTTTTATCAAGAGCTTTTTAATGAGGCTAGAGAAAACTTTCTATTTTGCTCATTTTTTTGTTATCATGGTTATTGCCAAACTCATCAATCCGCAAGTAATTTATACGTTTATCAAGATCTCCTTCATCAGACTGCAGAAAATCGTCAATTTTGCACCTCTTGTTTTGTTATCATGATTATAACTAAACTCTTTAATCAGCAAATGATTTCTACATTTATCAAAAGCTCTTTCATCATAATGTAGAAAACCTTCAAATTTGCTCATCTTTTTTTGTTATCATGGTTATAGCCAAACTCATCAATCAACAAATGATTTCTACATTTATTAAGAGCTCTTTTATGAAGCTGCAGAAAGAAAACTGTCAATTTTTTCTCTTTTTACGTCATTATAGTTTTAACCAAACTCATCCATTACCAAATGAATTTTACGTTTATCAAGAGCTCTTTCATCACTCTGCAGAAAACCGTCAATTTTGCTTATTTTTTATCATTAATGTAGCCAAACTCCTCCATAAACAAATAATTTTTAAGTTTATCAAGAGCTTTTTCATGAGGCTGCAAAAAAAAGTCAAGAATTTTTTCATGAGGCTGCAAAAAAAGTCAATTTTTTCTTTTTTTACGTTATCATAGTTATAGCCAAACTCATCAATCATTCAATGATTTTTACGTTTATCAAGAGCTCTTCATCATATGGTAGAAAACCGTTAATTTTGCTCTTTTTGTTTGCTATCATGTTTATAGTCAAACTCATTAATCAGCAAATGCTTTCTACGTTTATTCAGAGCTCTTTCTACATATGTATTGTAGAAAACAGTCTATTTTACTCCTTTTTTATTATCAAGGTTATAGCCAAACTCATCAATTAGCAAACGATTTCTACGTTTATCAAGAGTTTTTTCATGAGAGTGCAGAAAACCATCAATTTTGCTCATTTTTTTTATTTATCATTGTTATAGCCAAACTCATCAATCAACAAATAACTATTACGTTTTTCAAGAGTTCTTTCATCAGACTGGAGAAAACTGTCAATTTTGTTGCTTTTTCCGTTATCTTGATTATAACTGAAACTTCTCAATCAACAAATGATTTGTACGTTTATCAAGAGCTCTTCTATCAATTATGCTGCTTTATCTGTAATCATGGTTATAGCAAAACTCATCAATCAGCAAAAGACTTCTAAGTTTATCAAATACTCTTTCACCAGGGTGTAGAAAACCAGAGATTTTTCTCTTTTTTTTTTCTTCTTTATCATTGTTTTAGCCAAACTAATCAATCAGCTAATGATTTATACGTTTATCAAGAGCTCTATCGTCATATTGCAGAAAACCTTCAATTTTACTACTTTTTTTTTGTTATCATGGTTATACCCAAACCCCGTAATGAGCAAATGATTTATACTTTTATCAAGAGCTTTTTAATGAGGCTAGAGAAAACTTTCTATTTTGCTCATTTTTTTTATTATCATGGTTATTGCCAAACTCATCAATCCGCAAGTGATTTATACGTTTATCAAGATCTCCTTCATCAGACTGCAGAAAATCGTCAATTTTGTACCTCTTGTTTTGTTATCATGATTATAACTAAACTCTTTAATCAGCAAATGATTTCTACATTTATCAAAAGCTCTTTCATCAGAATGTAGAAAACCTTCAAATTTGCACATCCTTTTTTGTTATCATGGTTATAGCCAAACTCATCAATCAACAAATGATTTCTTCATCATATGGTAGAAAACCGTCAATTTTGCTCTCTTTTTTTGTTATCATATTTATAGTCAAACTCATCAATCAACAAATGATTTCTACGTTTATCCTGAGCTATTTCATCTAGTTGCAAAAACCGTAAAAAAAATTTTTTTTCTAAGATCATTGTTAAAACCAAACTCATCAATTATCAAATAACTTCTACTTTTATCAAAAGCTCTTTTATCAGATTATAGAAAACCGTCAATTTTGTTCTTTTTTGTAATCATGGTTATAGCCAAAATCATCAATTAGAAAATGATTTCTACGTTTATCAAGAACTATTTTATGAGGCTGCAGCAAACCGTCAATTTTGCTCTCTTTCTTTGTTATCATGGTTATACCCAAACTCATCAATAAGATAATGATTTCTACGTTTATCATAAGCTCTTTCACCACTTATAAAAAGACATGTGTCTCATGTTGAAGAGAGAGTTTCTTATAATATTCTTTATAAAAAACCGATTCTAAAAAATTTAAAGTAAAATCAATAATTCTATAATTTTGAATTACTGTAAATAAGAGTTTCTAAATGTCTCTAGTTTAAAAAATCCAATGAAAATGTTCTTACATGCCAACTACCCTTTTAAAATTTAATTTTTTTTTTCTAATTTTGATTAATCTAACGTAAATGCTCTAATTTTAAATTACGTAAAAAGAAGAATATGGTCAAAATTTATTTATTTAAATATTATACCTTGACAATAGTTGATTACATCCATGATTCTATTTTTTAAAAAAATTATAATGTTGCTATACATACAAAAAATTATTGCCTTGAACACAAAATAATGATATTACCTTTTTGACATATCAAATTTAGCGAAAAATCAACTTATATTATTTTATTTTCATAAATATATGCTCAGTTTTAGATATTTCCAATCAGGATAGAGATGTATGGCAAGTTTAATTATTATTTTAAAATTAAATAATTTAAAAAATATATAACCGTAAAATCTTTCGTTGAACTTGAAACAATATGCCAAAAAATTATAAATATTTCCAATTTGTTATTTTTCTTTCAAAATATAAACGCCATTTTAATAAATAAAAAATCCAAAATAATATTAATTGAATCTTTTTTTTCTAATAAACACTCACATTTTTATTTTGTATTAATCCTTATCAAAGTTAATATAATTATAATGACCACAATATTTATAGTTTTTAACCAATCATATGAAGGTTATCGAAATTTTAGAGACTCATAACTAAATAAATAAATTTAGCTACGAAATTGATTTGTTATCAAGATTGGAATCAAATCAACGGGGTTTCATCATCCTCGTGATATGCGTGTGCAAAGACATGATCACAGTTTCATATCTCTCATTTCTACATTTTTTACGTTCTTTATGTAAAACGTTCCATATACGTAAAATCTCTTCTCTCTTTCCAGTTATATCATATAGCTTCAAGAAAAAATTGTAAAACTTATCAGTTTTATAGTCTTCGCTATTGAACCGGCTCTCAAGTAAGTCAACACGTCCATACATTTTAACAACTTACTATATAACATGGTATTATTTGAGGCAACAAAAATACTAAAATAAAGAGACGCAACCACACTTTAATTTTTACATCTTCTCCTTCGTCATGATGATATACTTTCATTATCTTTTGTGTTCATAATCATTACATCTTCGCCATCCTCATCTTCTATGTCTTTGTATTCACGTTCTTGTTCATATTCTTCTTCTTTTACATTTTCATCTTCATACTCATCTTACTTCTTCTTCTCTTGCATCATCTTTGTGTTCTGTTTTTGAGTATTACAAAAAGCATAACAAACTAAATAGAACATAATTAATGATCTCATATAGAATTGGTTAGAAAAGCGAAATTTAAAGAACTTTTTTGTTGATCCTCTTTATTCGAACTTTTTTATGTTCCTTTGTTTAATCGGCTTTGTACCTTCGTCATTCTCTTTTTGTGAAGTTCTTATTCTCATAGTCTCAGTCTTTCTCAGTTTCTCTAATATTGATCATAGATTGCGAATGATCGAAAACATTCTAAAACACACAAAACGACAAAACTAATACAGAAAAGAAAAAAAGAAACAATATAACTATGTTAGAAGAGATGAATAAACAAAACCAAAAGATTAGTATGGACATATTTTATTATAGAAAATACAAATCAACCTTGTAGATGTTGATGTTCATTGTTGTTGTGGTCTCATCTTTACCAGCTCTCGGTCTCTGGTCCTTTTTCATGGTTTTATATATATATTTAGGAGAAATACAAAGAAAAAATCAAGAAAGGAATAAGCAAAACCAAAAGAACAACGTTTACATTGGTTTAGATAGGAAATAGAATTTAACTTTGCCTTCATGCTTCTCGTTGTGATTGTCTTCATGACTTCATGTCATCACATCTCTTTTTCCGGCTTTTTTGGTATGCTTAGTTAGTTATACTTTAAAAAATAAGATACTAAAAACATATGCAGTAATATATCATATCATTAGAATATGCTTTTAATAAATATTGGATCCAAGAATTCAAACTGATCCTTCCATCTCTTGGTGTTGGATCATGATCTGGATTGGGCCTTGGAATCACAACATTCACCAATTAATTTACTTGCACAAAATGATTGTAAAAGCATGAGGATGTGCTAATGGTAGAATGTCAGAACATATAATAAAAAAATTGAATTCCTCACCAAATTTCCTACCTTTTTGTCTCATTATGTCTACAGAGTTTTAACCACTTGCGTCAAACAAACAATAAGATTTAATTAGTAATTTTTTAGATAATTGTGAAAACCAAATGATTTATAGGAACGCACTATAAAGTAAACGGACAATCAATGAAGTGAATCTAAATACAAATTGACTAAAACCAAATATTTAAACCGTAAGAGAGATAATAATGAATCACCTCTAAACAATGTTGTCTACGTTGCTTTTCGTCATCACCTCTAGTTTTCGTGGGTTGTTCAATTCCTAATTTCCTCTCATATCTCACTTGTAAATCCTACGTTACTTGGTAGAGATGGAGATAACACTTGAACATCTGTAGAGACAATTAGCATTAACAAATCAATTAATCACATGTCACAACCAAAAGTTTGAAGTTTTTCATAGACACGAACACAAATCCAACAGTGACAAAAAAAAAAGCTGAAACAATTGTAACATGAAAATAAACCACAAAAAACACAGTAAGCTAGATTATTTTGAAAGTTGAAAAACTAACAACTAAATCAAATCTCTTAGCTAGGAGTGGGTTTGTACTTTTGTTGTTGTTAACTCTTTCTCTACGAATCTCCTCGCTGCTCGAGGAAGACGGAGCTTGTAATCGATCGTGTTTCGGTACTCTGTCGTGTTTCCGTACTCGCTGCTTGCACCGTACTTATGGTTATCCAAGACCAATTTCCTGAACTTCTTAACATCAGCACTGTAAGTGCCTGAGTCATAGTGCGAGTTGTTTCCTGAAACCAAATTTCCTCTTGTTCTTCTTCGTATTACCTTTAACCAAGTTCCTCCTGTTCTTCTTCATATTACTTTCATCCGAAACTACCAAAATTTTAAGACATGAACACATTAATATACAGTATAACGATTATAAGGAAGGGAGATTACATTCTTTTTCTTCTCCAAGTACTCCTACATCTTCTTCCTCTCAATGATAAAAAAAAATAATATGAAGTCACAAAATAAATATATATATATATATATAGATAGATCACATGCCATCGTTGTAATGGATTAGAGTTGTCACCAATTACCAAGTTGGCAGACACACACCCAACCAACTTCGATATGCATATCTTCAACATAAAGAAACAATATGAACACAAATAATCAATTCGAAAGCTATGAGATTCAGCTGCTGAGCTCCACCATCACCGGAGGAGCTCTCACTGGCGGCAACAACATTGTAGCCTCCGCCACAACTACTTCCAGGGCCGTTAATTCTGTAACAATTATGTTTTTCTCAAAAATTGGCAATTCCCCAAATAAAGATATTTATTGAATATTTTAGACTTTATCTACAACTTTTACAAATTTAAAAGGGTAAAATTCATATATAAACCAAGACTAAACAATCTTATTATGTTTAAAATAAAATTCATAGTCGAGAATATTTATCTTTTATTAAAGATATTATAAAGTTTTTACATGCCAACTTAATGTCTAATTAATATCTCAATTCTTTTTCGAAAACATAATGTTATTTTCATAAGGATCATTCACAATCAAAAGTGATAGATTTTTTTTGTGTTTTGACATTATAAATTTATAACAATATGGTAACTATCTAGATATTTTATTCTTTTCAAAAGAGTAATAAACCTATCATATATTATTTTCTTTCTAATACAAATTAAAAAAGTTTTAGATATTTCCAAATCTTATGATAGATATAAATGACAAACTATTATCGTTTTCAAAAATAAATAATCTTAAATATGTATATATGTAACCCTAAAACATTTATTTTCCCGAAACAATAACCCAAAAATAATAATTATTTCCAAAAACAAATTTCCTTTTAAATTCTAAATGACATTTTTTATAATGGAAATAATTCAAAATAACCTTAAATGATTCTATTTTTTTTAATAAATATTAACAGTTATATTTGGCACTATCATAATCCTTATAAAAATTAATATAGCTTAAAATGGTTTAGTTTTTTACTACTTAAACATGATTTTATGATTTTGCTATTTTTATTTCCTATATAATAGAACTAAGTTGAGAAAAAATATTGTTGAACCCATCTGTATTTCTATTTCACACAATTTATATTTTTTATTTTTATTAACAATAGAAACATACATTTGTTAACTAAATAATTTTAAAATTAAAAACTCTGTTCAATAATCCGAGAAATAATATGCCGATGGGTTTTTATCATCTCCACAAAAAAAAATTATAAAACACAAAAAAAGTTGAAACTTATAATAAAGGAAGGTTAAGTCATCACGATTTAAAATATATATATTAAAAAAAATTTGTTTAATTCCTCAATAAACTATTTCTTTCATTATCATTAATAATTAGTATGATCAATAATACACTATATATATTATATATATACATATTTATTTACAAACTAAATATCACAGAAAGTTATACGGACTCCGTTTAATAATGAACAATAAACTATTTATTAAAATCTCGCACAACTCTTAATAAAAAAAAAAAGTAAAACAAAGCCCACAACTAAGTCCAAATAAGTCCTTGTATGTGTATAACGGTGTCTAGTTCATACGTAGCTCAAGAGAAGCACAAGAGTCTCTACCAAAACAATCACGATCGTTCGATTGGCCATACTTCCAGATATCACCACTACCACCGTTGAGGTGATCTTCACCGTGCATAGGGAAGAGAGGAAGCTTACATCGATGTTCCAGATAAGCATTGACACCACATTCTTCTTCTTCTTGACGACCTTCTAGACCAAAGATAGGCTTTGGTCTATGGAAGAAGTTGCAAGGCGAAAATGAGTAGTGATGATTATGATCCATGTTTGCCCATCCTCCACCTACGTTGTTGTAATTTATAGAACAGTCTTGTCATTATATGTAGAGCATTAAATTTATATTCATATACAATGAAGGATATATATTATTTGAATTAAATGGCTTATTGTTTGGTACGTACCATAGACATGTGTTAATGGAGCCATTAGAAGCATTAACAGCACCACATTCAGTATCTTGATATGACTTCGGTCAAGTTAAGTGAGTTTGGATTCTCTCGTAAACCATCTCTCTACCACTACTCAGTTCATCCAAATCCTGCACCAGTTCATAAGTACAACATGAAATCTAAACATTACCAACACTGCTCCTGTAGTAGAGGCCGATGAATCTGAAATTCGGCTTCAAAAATATAAAAGTTTTGCTTTTCTGATTTCTCGGTTCTATGTTTGAAAACTTGAACCCAATATATTCTGTCATCTATGTGTAGAAAACATAAAATGTAGTCCAGCATCCAACATCAAGTGTTTGCATACTTCCTGCATAATGAACCGAAACTGAATCAATATGGCCTAACATTATATATAGAATTTCTTTTTAAGCACATTGTAAAACACAAACACGATATAACTCTTACCAAGAGTCGAAGCATATATCTTAATCTGGCTAGAAAAAAAAAAGCACGATTAACTATTGAAACCAATATTTGGTTGGCCTCATCATGAGAGATATATACAATAAATTTTAAATTAAAAGCAAAAATAAACTATTGAAACCAAATTTCTTTTTTGATCATGCCAATTGTATAAGCCTCAAATATCGAGCTAAACGTATTTTATATATCTGCATACCTTCTATGATATTGATTTTCTTGCTATTGGACGGTAAGTACACTTTCTTTCTTGAACATTAAACATATAGACACCATTTAGGTCATGGGGATTCCTTATTCCTTGTGATCAATGAACGTTTAGTTGATCTAAACTAAAGGAGGCAACTAAAGGAAGCTGCACAATGATAAACAACTAAGACTTATGATCCTATTTAGTAGTGTAGAGATGATCTAAACTGCAGAAGCTTACCTGGTTATAATCACGACATCTCTGCAGCCAAAACAGAGGTTTAGATCCTTTTTCTTTAGGAGTGTCTTCGATTTGTGACAGGAACTTCTTCCTCTCGTCTTCTTTTGCATTAACAGGAACATTAATCCTCAACGCACTGATATTCGGTACATTTGGTGAACTCCATCTTCTTCTTGTACCAGCCTTTTTATCACCACTTTCAAGACTTCCTCTCTCGTCAATGTCTATCAAACAGTCAGGACTGTCACCATAACATCTAGTCTCTCTTCTGCCATTCATCCCACGTAGATCCTCAGCTACAGAACTCGTTGAGGAATCTCTCAAGTTGATGTTATCACTGTTTAAACTCTCTGATGTCTGAGAAGATCCAGATAGAAACATGGCAAGGTCATCACGCTCTTCTTTGTTAAGATTCACCCAACGCAAAGGTTGTTTCCCATTCTCGTTTAAAGCCTCTTGCAGAGAAGATTATACTCGATAAATCTGGTTTTCAATAGCGGCTACAAACTTTTTATGCAACAATGCATACATCAATCTCAAAAAGAAAACAAATACAAATAGAATGGGACAGTAAAACGATAACCGAGAACCAAGAAATTATATGTACACGTGTACATATAACCGAGAAATTATATGTACACGTGTCTAATGGCGATTAGTTGCAGCTGGACAGGTATTGCTTTGAAGAGCAAGGCACCTGAGCTATACCAAGAGACCTGACTGTATGAAAACCGCTACCGTGAGAACCAAGGAACCTGACCTAGAAGAAACCTACAGACCTGTGTTTTCCATGGCGGCACATACACTCCGGGACGGGATAAGCTATCACGTCACGATCTCTACGCCTTCTCGGTGACTCAAGATGGCCTTGGTACTTACGGTGAAGCTTCCGAGTTACAAAACTGAGCTCAGCATCCGAAACCGAAGAATTCTCCAGTAAAGGAAGCATTGCTCTCTTGATTGTTATTTTCTTTCGTGTGTTTTATATTGTTAAGTTACGAATGTAAAATCTGTCTAAAGGTGCATAACAACGAAAGAGACTACTTATCGCATCTTCACGGTAAGAGGCATCACACCAATTTGTATGATATAGTCAACTTAGCATATCAATTGAATATTATGGAAACAACTCATTTTGTGAAACAACAATTGGTTTTGTTGCACTTGTCATCTATTATTGTTATTGATATTTGCTTTTTTCATATTCAGCTCATTTTCAAGAGAAAAAGTTCAGAGATGAAATGAAAACCGAGGTACGCAAATGTTTTATTACTTGATGTCCTTATGTAGCTTTTAAATTTGGGTACTTTTGTGCAGAACACTTCAGATAATGATCTTTATGATTCAGAATTTTCTGGTAAGTACTCTTTTCTCTTATGCTCTTGCTAAATCTGTACATGTTAATCATTTGTATCAAATCTAATATGTTTTGTTTCAATTGATTATCAGAACCTCCTGATTTAAGTAAATGGTTTCCGGACTATGTCTATGAATCCCCGATGTTGGATACATGTTATGGTTTTGAATTCTCTGACCTTAAAGAAAGTGAAAGTATAAAGGATTTGGAAATTAAGAAAGAGACACCAACAAAAATCGATGACTTAGTCTCTTCTAAGATTGATGATATGACTGACTCGCAAGCTGCATATTCAGGTGAGCAAATATATGATGGAGCTGGACACTTTGATTGTTGTGTTTCTTTTATTGATCTTATTTCTTAATCTACTTGTATGTTTGTGTTGTTGGAGTAACATAAGTTTGTTCTCTTTTGATTCTTAATACTCATAATGTTTGTGATGTTTCTATTTAGACTCTATGCGTTTGCTTAAGATTTTACTTTGTTTTTTTGGAGGATTGAGTTTTGAGATACTGAGCATGTCAATCTGATAGTAAAAGGCAATGTTTATTCTCTCTTGTTTTCAACATGAAACGTAGCCTGCTTTCTTCCCGTTTCCACAGCGCTGTAAAGTTGTAAATTAGGACATGTCGAAATTAGTTCGGGTATTTCTCGGGTTTTAAATTCAATACCCGAATATACCCAAACCCGAATAGAACCGAACCGAACCCGACCCGAAATTATATATATACCCATTTGGTTTCTCTTAAGCAATACCCGAAAATACCCAAACCCGAATTACCCTACCCGAACCCGACCCGAAGACCCAAACGCCCATGCCTATTTGTAACCTTCTCTAAGGTTTTAACCAACTCCGGTTTACTAAGCTTCTGATTTCGTCTAGGTTGTCTTCAATCCTAGATCCAATCTGAACACATGCTAAACTAGAAATTCAACATCAATAAAAAGGTTTTGGATTTTAATGTTTATTCATTTCTCAGATTCAAAAAGCTCCAATGGAATCACCTGTAAGACAAGACAAAGCTCAGAGAAATTGTTTGAGGAAACAAATCGATCTAGCATTACAGAGATTCTGTGACTTTCACGTAAAACAAATCAATCTCTTTAAACTTCTAACTTCTAACTTCCACAAGAACAAGAAGACCACCTTTTCTTGTAGTGATCTTGTTACTTGTGTTAAAAGTAATAACTATTCAATTATATTGAATAAAAATCGCAGGTTAATAAGGTTCAAGACTTAGTGACTTACTTGAGGAGCAGGCCTGTTGAGGAGCAACCATTGGATTGCGGATCGGAGTATACAATCTTTACGTATAATATATACATTTTCTAATTAAAATCATATAGATCTCATATAAATGTATAATATATACATTTTTTTTTTTTTGGGTCAAAAGTGTATAATATATACATGAGTAATAAGCTACACCGACATATATAGTGTTTTTCAATCCTCTCGTAAGAATAAAAAATTCGAGCATGGTTATCGCCACTTATTACGGATACCACGTATTATTGCCACTTGCAAATTATTCAGTCAAATATGGTCAACTTTGTGTTTAAAAGGTTATTTTACTAAGAAAAACGTGTTACAAAGGATAAAAAAATGCAAAGAAAAAATGAATTGAGATCTCGAGAGACAACACTCTCCCTTTATTAATAGTGTACCAATTGCTTCTCTCAATATCACCACACTACACAACCATGAACTCTTGCTCATTCACTCTTTTCATCTTGGCCGCCATTATCTTTCTCCGGTGTTTAAGTTCCACTAGAGCTGCCACATGTCATCCTGATGACGAGGCAGGTCTCTTAGCCTTCAAATCGGGTATAACCCGAGATCGTTTGGGCATTTTTAGCCAGTGGAAGAAAGGTACTCCATGTTGTTCATGGATGGGTGTCATTTGCATCACCAACGACCGCGTCACCACACTGAGAATAAGCGGCTCTACCGTTCTTGGCCAAAGCGTCGTTTCCGGCACAATCTCACCGTCTCTGGCCAAACTTCAGCACCTCGAGGGGGTTTACTTTACCTATCTTCAAAATATTACAGGGTCTTTTCCCCAATTTCTTTTCAAATTACCAAAGTTAAAGTATATTGACTTAACGGGTACTCGCCTCTCCGGTCCCCTTCCGACTAACATCGATGCGCTAAGCCAGTTGGAAGAGTTAATTCTGGAGGACAACCAGTTCACTGGTCCAATCCCGACTTCAATATCTAATTTGACTCGGTTAACTTGGTTCAGTCTCCGTGGAAACCACATCTCTGGCACCATCCCAGATATTTTCAAATCCATGACGCAGCTTGGATTTCTCGCTCTCTCCCGCAATCGATTATCCGGGAAACTTCCTCCGTCTTTTGCATCGCTTGCACCAAGTCTCGTAGTCCTCGAACTAAACCAAAACAATCTCTCGGGGAAGATCCCTAACTATTTATCAAGATTCAAGGAGATGTCCTCATTGTATCTCTCCAAGAATCAATACTCGGGGGTCGTGCCAAAGAGTTTCGCCAATATGACCAAACTTAATCATCTTGACCTCTCCCACAATCTTCTAACCGGTCCATTCCCAGACTTGAAGATGATCGATAACATTTACGCTTTGGATCTATCGTACAACCGATTCCACCTAAAAACAATACCGAAATGGGTGACCTCTTCACGATCCATCCACTCGTTGAAGCTAGTTAAATGCGGGATCAAGATGAGATTTGAAGATTGGAAGCCAGAGGGAACAAAACTTTTTTCCGACATCAATCTTTCAGAAAACGAGATCTCAGGGAGTCCAACATGGTTTCTTAACAACGCAGAGAATCTTATGGAGTTTCAGGCATCAGGGAACAAACTCCGATTTGACATGGAGAAGCTGAAATTCAAAAAATCGTTGAGACTATTAGATATGTCAAGGAACTTGGTATTTGGGAAGGTACCAGCGACGGTGGCTGGATTGGAAAAACTGAACTTAAGTCAAAACCATCTTTGCGGAAAGCTTCCGGTGACAAAGTTCAAGGCCAATACGTTTGCTGGTAACGACTGTCTCTGCGGCTCTCCACTTTCTCCTTGTAAAGCTTAGCCGCATGAAAAACTATAACTTTGTATTTTTGGATTTACTTTGACACTCTCTAGTCTCTACATAAAAATTGTATTGATAATAACAAAGTAATTGCAAGATACGAAGTTATGAATATGCATTATCCTTCTACATTATTTTTTTCATGCACTTGAAATGTTAGTATAATTAAACATGAGGACGTGGGCTAAATGCAATTGTAAGATCACCAAACAGTTTTTCTTAGAAAGAGGAACTGAACAACTGATCATTGTCCTTGTCAATGGTTCTATCGACTTAAAATGATACAAAGAATTAATGTGTCCCATGTCGTGCTTCAGTGACTGAAAATTGAAACTTCAATGTCGTTCTTTCATCTTGATTCGATGTCCACCACATGACCGACGTCATCCATATAATTAAGAGGTGGAAAATCTTATTAATTAATTACAAACCTTATCAGTCGTCTAATGCGCGTGTTAGGGTATTGAAACTCTTTTCTTTTATTTTTTGGTCAGTGTGTGTAAACTGCAAACAAAATTATTATTTTCGCTTGTAAGCTTCGGAATAAAAATAAAAATATTACTTTTATACATGATAAAAATTGATGAAAAGACCAGAGTAGTATTCAAATACAAATGCTCCAACAAATTTGTGTAATTTTGGTTTGCATGGGGATGATTTGATTCTTTGGGGAAAAGTAAAAAAAATTGATTATATTGGATACACTCAAAATTCAACCTAAGATTATATTGGAGACCAAGAAGGGGACAATTGCTTTTTCTAGACCATTTGGTGGTCTTGAATGCAAAACTAGACCCCATATTCCTTTTTTGAGAAACATAAAAGGGCAGTGAAATTACAGTTGACTCCACTAAGACCAAACAAAAAACAGAAGCTGAAATGACAGATGTACCCCGAGAGAAGTCAGCAATATATGTCAATCTGGTTGATTACAAATTTAAGGCCATGAATGTTTACTAGTTTTTAAGTGGTTTTTGGTTTTTAGATTTTGGTTTTTGGTTTTTTTTGCTATAAATACAAAAAATTAATTAAAAAAATAAAAAAATAAAAAATGAAACATAATCACGTTGAAAAAAAAAGTTTTCCACAAAAACCTCAAAATCATGGTTTTTAGTTTCTCTTTGAAACTTGGAGAAAACACTCAAAAACTAGTTTCCCTAAATTTTAGGGAATCTCATTTTTTAAAATCTTGAATGGTGAAAAAATAGATTTTTTCAAAAACAAATACCAAAAACCACTTAAAAACTAGTAACCATTCAAGGCCTAAGTCTACTCATTAATTAAAGTTTAAATTTTAATTAGAAAAATTATAAAAAATAATTTGATAAAACTATTGATCAAATAATAACAACATAGACTTCCTGCATTGAAATAAAATATATTTACATATAAACTAGTCGATTTAGGAAAGGTTGATTAAGCTAAAATTATTTGATTTAGGGTTTGCTTAAGTAGACTTCTCTGTACACTATTGGTGGTTGACTTAGTTTTGCCCTCAACCATAACCGACAATTTATCCAAACCGATCGGTTTTCTCGGTTTAAAGGGTACACATATAAAAACTAAAAAACCCTAGATCTATTTCATTATTAAAAAAAAAAAACATCAGTCTCTCCCTTTCTCTCCTTCTCACACTAAAAACCCTAGATCTATTTTGCTCTTCATCTCTGTTTCTTTCACTCTCTTGTTGTTTCACTCTCATCTTAGCCACCGTCATCCTCTCTCCCTCCAAGGTAATTTCTCTGCTTTGTTTTTCTTTGTCTCAGTTGGTCCTTATCTAAAATCTGCTTCAAAAATGGAAAATTGCTTTGGGTTGTTGTAATTGTGATTTGGGTTGTTGATTTGAAGCAATAATGACCAATTTTGGATTTCTTTTTCTCTGTTGTTCACTTGTAAACCCAGAATCTGATCTTAAATTAGAAGATTTATTTTTTTGAAGAAATGAAGGAGTTGACGGATAGATGAAGTCTACTGCAAGGTCAACGGTTTGGTCAATTGCAAAAATAGACCACACCGTAGACTTCGAGTTATTGTCTCTGCGTAGAGGCTTGTTGATGTCTACTCGTATGACATCTACATGAAGTCGGCAAAATTTGAAAACTAATTTATTGCAAATTGGTGAATAATTTTTAAGATTTTCTTGTTGTATTCTTTGAGGAATAATTATGGTTTTGATATCGATGGTTGACTAATGGTGGCGGCGGCTGCGTCCTCACTCTATTACCAACCAGTATCCTTTTTTCAGCAATATTTTTTGGTCATTTTGGGTTCTTGATTCTTGAATTTTGATGAAATCTCTCCACAAAACGAACTTGTTTCAGGAACGGTGGTGGACAAAGTGGTGGAGGAGCTCGAGCAGCGGTTTTCAGTGCTTCACGGCATCAATCGGTGGTAACGGAGCTCAGATACACAATTGATCAAACCAGAAAATCATATCTTTGGCCTCTCACCATTTCTCAACTTGTTCTTGTATACTTCAAGAAGGCTGCAATTAGAAAATCCAAAGAGTCGATTGGTAATGTATTATTGGTATTGTTGGATTGGTAATGTATTGTTCGATTGGTAATGTATTATTGGTTTGAGATTTGTTTGAGAACTGTGTTAAATCAGGTTTCATGGTCGTATAACAAAACAATAAGTAAAACCTCTATAAATTAATAATGTTGGGACCATAATATTTTATTAATTTATAGTGATATTAATTTATTTATAAATTAATACTTATTAATTTATAACGTAAATTAATATTTATTAATTTATAGAAAGTTTTGTTTCAATGTGAAAAGTTTTTTAAAAAAATAAGAGCTAAAGCAATGTGATCTAAATAAAATTAATGTTTTGGATGTTATAAATTTTATAGTTTTAGCCTTAAACACTTAATATTTCGAAGAAAAACTAATTTATTTTGACAATGAATAACAACGATTATAGAATTCACATATACAAACGATATACATAAATTAAAATTCACAAATAGTGACATCCATTGTTGTATTTCAAAAATCTATACGACTATTAAAACAAAAATTATGCATATTCAAAATTTGAAAACTTACAAAAACTTTTAGCTATTTTTATGAAAACACTAAAACTATTATATATATATGTGTGCATATTTACATGATTATGAATTTATGATATTATTGGGACTATATTTTTACATAGAGATTTCAAAAAACTTATTATCTTATTATCTTATCGAATTTGATTAATTTTTACACTGGCCCGACTCGGGACCGGCCAAATTTATTTATTTATCGTGTTTATTAATTTATCGAGTATTAATTTATAGAGGTTCTACTGTATAGCTATCATAAGATCAAACAATAACATATGAAAACAATGCTATTATATAACATTTATAGCGTTAATGCAAAATGCTATTGTAAGATAGACCAATCAATAGCAAATCAAAAACAACGCTATCATATGTGTCATATACCATAGCAATAAACAAACGCTATAATATGTGTGCGACCTATTATAGCTGTCGCAAACACAGCGTTTGATAATGCGCTATCAATCACTTTTGATAGCATTAATCGTATGCTAACAATATTAATATTTCTTGTAGTGACAATATGAAGATCATCATAAAATATAATTACGAATCACAAAAGAAACTTTTGATACCCAAGCATATAAAAAAAACTATTGGACAATTTAATTACAAAATCAATACAAAGCAATAATACGCAATAAATCGCATATAAAATATATAATATAACAGAAAGAAACACAAACATTTATATAGGTAAATATATGTAGAATATACCAACCAAATCTATAGAAATACCTTTCCAAACTCGCTCTATTCTTGTCAACACCACCTTCGTTCGAAAGCTTTGTCAATGGAACCTCCCACGTTCTACAAAACTGAAACACATACCAAAAGAATCAAATCAGCAAAACAATAAATCAACGAACTAATACAAAAAATAAAACAAACAACAAACAATATGCACACGACCTCTAAAGGTAAATGAAAACAATATATGCATGACAAACAATTTGATTCATCAGAATCGCAGCTGTATAAAAAAAACTATAACGGTGAAAACTATCTAATGGGCACAGAAAAAAATAATACCTAATTCTCTGGCCGATCAACAATATATATAGCTTTTAAATTAGGGCAAACATCAATCATTATCTTAAGAATTTTAACTTTTTAATTAGAAACTAAATCAGAAAAATAACAAAAACGAATATTAACTACTAAGATATAGAATTTATCCAAAAATTAACAAATAAATTTAACTTTTTACTTAGAAACTAAATTAGAAAACTAACAAAAACGAATATTAACTACTAAGATATAGAATTTATCCAAAATATTAGCAAATAAATTAAAGTTAACATTCCATAATCCATAAATTCGAGACATTATGACATTTTTACCCCCAACGATTACACTATAAAAAAAAAATTAAGGGTGATTAAGACTAATCATCTCAAAACACGATTAGACTTATATACCCCTAACAATTAAGAACAAAAAAATTCGAAATCGAGGGTGTTTAGGACATTATTATAGAGATCAACACACGATTAGACTTATATACCCCTAATTACGAAGAAGAAGAAATTTCGAGAAGAACAATTCATTAAGGGTGTTTAGGACAAATCATTCCAACTTTTAACCACAGGCCTCCAATGCCCTAACTTTGAATATGGTGCGTTTCTACTTCTCAATTAATTATTGTAGAGATTGGATAGATTGGAATCTTCATTTGGATACCCTGTAATTCTAGGGTATCTGATTGTTGTCAATAATCCCTAATCCCTAAGAAAGTAATAACTTGAAAAACTATTAGAAATCAAATAACACTTTCCTAATTGAAATGACTAGACACAAATCCATATAAGCCCCAAAACGTGTTTGACCTGGCTATATTCGCAGTGGTCCAACCTGGTTAAGGTCCAATCATTGAGACTAAAAAACATTGAGATGTTACCGTCTTTCATGAGAAGAATGACTCTATGTAGATAAAAAAAAATACGTGTTTGACTCGAAAAAGCACTCCAAAGACCTCAAAACGTACACGTTACGTGAACATCACAAGATTCACAACCATTTTGTTCATAATTTTTGTTTTGTCACCCTATTTGGTTAAGCCATTAAATCCTGGTTTCATTAGTGCTTATCAAAATATATTGTAGAATACATATATAAATGTTTAGTAGGCTTAACCTTGATTTCATCATATTATATACAGAACCATAACATCAAGATTTAAAGTACAAAAAAAAAAGAGAACAAGAAAAATTATGAGAGATTATATTTATTTTTCGCTTGTGATTCCATAAAACAGCCATGGATTTGCTTAATTTTATACTTTGGCTTGTTAAATAGAACTATGACCGTGGGATAACAAATTTGTGTATCTAAAGTATGTTATGCCTGAAGATAACCCTTGTTATCTAAGTATCCGACGACCTTTTCAGCCATTTCGATTGGAGAAGTTCCTGATCCTTCGCGGCCTAGAGAAATCTTCACATGACAAAAAGAAAATAGAACAAAAGGTAAGACAAGTGAATGACTCCAAAAAAGCTCAGCATCAAGATCAAGAACCAAAACATCCCATTCTGTTTTCAAATATTATTGACATTTACCTCGCAGTTCAATGGTGGCTCGTAAGGGTCATCGATCCCGGTAAAACCTGAAGAAACATTATAATGTCATTTGTTCTCATTGATAGACACAATTACCAACAGCATTTCAAGAGATACCTTTGATCTTTCCTGCACGAGCAAGCTTGTAAAGACCCTTGGGATCCCTCGCCTCGCAAACTTCAAGCGGTACATCCATGAACACCTATTTGATCAAAACAAATTTTACTCAAATCTTGAAAACATCAGTACCATTAAGAGACAACAAAACCCGTTCTTTGTTGTCAATACCTCGACAAAATCTCCCTCGGGGAGCAAATTTCGACAAGCGTCCCTATCTGTTCTATAAGGAGATATCAAACTCGCAATGCAGATGATTCCAGCATCCGCAAAGAGCTTAGCAACCTCTCCTAAAGAAATCAATTAGAAACAGAATGTCAACACTAAAGCTCACAACAACAACAACCAATATTGGATTAAAGAGATTATTAAGCTCACCGACTCTACGAATATTCTCTGCACGATCCTCAGCTTTAAAGCTAAGATCACGGTTTAAGCCATGCCTAACATTATCACCATCAAGAATATAACAAAGCTTCCCCTTTTGATACAACATCTGATTCAAAGCACAAGCCAAAGTACTCTTCCCTACAAATTTTGAATCCATGAAACATTAGATAGATTTCACATAGACATAGACCAAACTTGAAGCTTGTTTCTACACGAACCTGAACCACTAAGACCGGTGACCCAAATCACACATCCTTTCTGATCAAGCAACCTCTGTCTATCAACTTTCTCAACAGGACATTCATGCCACTTTATGTTTGTCGAGTTTCCGACCGTAGACAAAGGACCTTGCTTTTGTCCTAATTATACAAAAAAAAAAACCATAAAAATTGAATCTTTTTGGCAAATCATAGCTAAAAATCGGATTTTTCTGGGAAATCTCAAAGAACGATACATACCCGTGTGACCATTAATAGATTTAAGCTCAGGAATAGATCCATTTTTGCTATGACTCAGAGTTTGTGATCCATCCATAGAAACACAAGCACGAACAACAACAACAGATCTTGAATTACTCATTGAATTGTTATCGGAAAGCCCTTTTGGAGAAGCAATCGAAAGCCCTAATAGCGATTTAGCTCCGGCGGCAATCATATTTCACGGTGGTGGAGGAAATAAAAATCAAAAATCGGATTGAGACAGGAACAAGAAGAAGAAACTAAATTTGTTGTGTCTGAATGTTTTTAATTAGGGAATGAGGAAAATGTGACCGTTAAATAAAAACGGAAAATTGGAGTTTTTTTTTTTTTTTGAGAGGGCGATTAGGTAGGTGAACTGGTGAACATAAAGGGTTGTTGGCCACGTTTTTATAATCATCTTATTATTTGTGGGAATTATCAAAACGGTGATGTTTTTGTGAACCTTGGGTTTTAAAACTAAATGTATTTAATGATGATTTGCATCCACATTCCTAAAAACAGAAAAGTGGTAATATATTCGATGAGTTACACCGATAGGGTTTGATTGGTTTAATTTTGAACTTGATTGGTTTTCCCGTAACCATTCACAAACTCACATTCCTAAAAACAGAAAAGTGGTATATATTGGATGAGATACACCGATAGAGTTTGATTGGTTTATTAGGTTTAAACTTGATTGGTTTTTTCGTAACCACTTTCGCAAATAGTAAAGTTATCATATAAAAATCGTTTTAAATTGATTTGATATAAAAGTTGTTTTAAATCACTTTATACCATTTCAAACTATTTAAAATCGCTAAATTTTAAAATATCTTTTCCGCTAACGTTTGCGGCACCAGATGGTGGCAATAGTAATTAAAATTTACGAAAATAAATTTTTTTAAAAAAGACTTATTCCTTTTTATCAAATATTATCATATCAAATTTTTAAATGCTTAATATATATTAAGTAAACTAATAAGTTGATAACCATAGAAATATATTTTGAATATAAAAAAGTTCTGAAAACTTTAAAATAATTATTTTAATTAGTTATTCAATTATTTTTATGATAATAATGTTTTAAATATAAATGATATATTATATGTTTTTTGGTAATTTTTACGTTTACAACCGATTTTAAACCAGCCCTGATTATCAATGAGCTCTTAATAATAGCTCTTAGGAATATTTAAGTTATAATTAACCACGTGACACCTATTAGCACTGAAAATGTCTGTTAACTAAGGAACGTTCCTTAATTATATTCAACATTTCCAATTTAATTTAAATCAACTATAAACCTAAGAAATACTTAAGAAACTACCCATAATCATGCTCTTAATACTATAAAAAATTATGGGTGGAAAATATGTTATTCCAACAGGTTATGAAAAAAGAAACAAGCAAAAAAAAAAATACAAATTTCAAACGTTTTATATGTAATTTATTAGGCCCACCAATATGGGAGAACTGTGGTAGAGTTTTGGTGTCTGGTCTAAATTGAAGAAATTGTTCAATAGGTCAATTTGAGTTGAGTTGTTTCTTACCAGACTCGTCAAGCCATCAAGTCTGAGTCAAATCATCTTTTTATTTTGAGGGAATTATGAAAACGGTGTCGTTTGGTCATTTGGTTAAGCTAAATGTACTTAACCTGGATTTGCATCCAGATTCCTAAAATTAGAAGAAAAAGAAAGTGGGGTTTACAAAAAAAAAAAAAAAAAAAAAAAAAAAAAAGAAGAAAAAGAAAGTGGAACATAATCGGGAAATGCACTAACTAAATTAAAAAGTTGGAAATAGTGTTCAGATTAGAGAAATGAAGAAGATTCTTACCATTGGGCTGAGATTGTGTTCTTTCAGCCGTACGTGTGCTTTTGTTTTTCATTAGAGAAATTAACTACCAAGAGTGCAAACATATCTTTAGAAGTACGATTTCAAAACAGATTTGTTAGTTCTTTTTTTACGGTCTTCATAAGAATTTATCTATGTTAGTGAAAGTCGTTATTGAGGACATCATGGTAAAGCATTTGTTCCATTTTATTAGTTTCAATATTTTTAAAAAAGTCCCAAATCTGTTTTAAAGAATTGATGATACAAAGTTATTATTTTAACACTATCAAATTAAAAGTATGATTATTGTGAATTTCAACAGTTAAAGGAATAGCTAAAGTTTTAATGGACTCTATTAATTAAAATAGCTAACATAAGATCCGGTCCACCCATAAAGCAGCCAAAACATCTGCTTTAGGCTACAAAATATAACAAAGTTTTTATGGCCACATTATTTAGAAACTTGCTTAGTCTAGTGGTTATGTAGTCTATAAATTAGTTTGAGAAAATTTGGAAAATTACCCCTTTTTTGAGATTTTGTTTGAAAAATACCTTATTCATTTTTTCTAATATAAAATCTATTTTTAATATATAAAAAGGGATAAAATTACGAAAATGTCCTCACTGAGATTTGCTAATAATTTTAAAATATTTATATTTAAAATCCAAAAATCTATTTGATTTTTATTTTTTGTCGATATTAAAAAAATTATTATTTATTAATTTCTTTATATAATGTGACAAATATGAAGTGATAATCTTTAGAATATTGTTTTGATAATATCATGTTAGATTTTAATTTATAAAATAAATAAACTGTATTTATCTCATAAATAGTCAAATTAATAATTAAGATTTTGAATTTAGTTTATTCTTTTTTTTTTCCTTCAAAATTTTGAATTAATATGTAATTTCGTATTTAATATTAATTTATTAAAAATACAACTTTTTTTACATTTGGACAAAATTGTCATTTAATATATTAAAAATTATAGTTTTGAATTAAAATGGAGAGAGGTATATTTTTCATACAAAACCCCATAAATAGGGTAGTTTTCAAAATCACCCAATTAGTTTTATGTCCCGAGTTTGAGTCTCTTCTTTTACAGTATTTTTTTTAAAATTTAACAATAGTGTTAAATAGCAATTATATTATTTAAGTATGTTTTAGGCCCCAAATATCTAAGGACCCACCGGGCCTAATTGTCATTAATATAAAGTTATAAAATAAAATTAAAATTAAAAATATGATTATACTATAGAGCCCCGTTTTTATTTCGTATTCGGCCTTAATATTCTCAAGACCGGTCATGTATATAGTTGCTGTTATTTGACTACATATTCTGAAGAGATAATTGGGTGTAAGGTAACCGATCTGGGCCAAATTAAATTTTCGGGGTTATGGGAAATTGTCGACGACATTAGTAAAACTTAGCCCACGATTCTTCCCATTCTGTCCTCACGCGCCCCTGTAGTAGCTCTGTTGATTCGGACCAAATACCACAAACAAGCGCAACATTTTTTGTGGTTATCGAGGTCATAATGTCAGTCTTTAGATACTGACGCTTGCGTGTTCAACTCTCATCTTCTTCATATCCCGCCCTTTCAATCTCTAAACCCTTAGTCTCTTAGTCTTCTCTTTCATTTCTCTCCAGTTTCTCTCTCTCTCCTCCGCATACGCTACCATACGCCACTGTTTACACTATTCACGCCGGTAGCCTCAAATTCTGATATACTGCGCCGGTAAGCTGGTTGTTGTTAACATGCGGTGGTTCCTTTTTTTTGTTTTTCTATCTCTGCGCTTCGCCGCCGTTCCATCTTCTGAAACTTTTTGGTGGTTTTACGACTTTAATCTTGATCTAAAGCGTTCGCTTTTCAAAACTCTCGGTGTTGTTCTTCGATTTCAATGAACCATCTCAAACTTTTTTTTTTCTTTCTCTGCGCAGATCCATACCTAGATCTATTTTTTGGTTAGATCTAGTGTGGACAGCTAAAAGAAATTGTAGATCTATACTTTATTTTATTGCATGTTATTATTTCCCTTATACCAACGGAAACTTATGTAGATCTTTACTTTTGTGCTTGCATGTCTATAATTTTTCTTGTGGGTCCATTAAATGACGATGATCTATTTCCCTATTTCTTTCTCGGTTTTGTTCCATTTGCGTTTTTAAGAGTTTCCCTGTATTTTATGGAATTTTTGGTCGATTTGGTCGTTTTTGTAAGTTTTTTTTCTCTGTCACCATCGTTAGTTTCGAAGCTACTATTTCTCCGTCGTTTGAAAAAAAACCCCTAATTATCTAAATTTGTCGTTTCTTCTTCCCAAATCCTTTTACTTCTTCAACTATTTTCTTAGATCTGTTTTGGTCATTCATAAACCTACATAGATCTTTACTTTTGTGCTTGCATGTTTATAATTTCTCTTGTGGGTCCATTTACTGACGATGATCTTCTCTTTTTCTTAAGGAACATGGCGGATCTAGACCTTCTTGCTAGGTTATTCGCCGATCGAGAAGAACCTGTGGGTGATCGTGGCAACCAGTATTTCAAGCTCCACACGATTACAGCTGTCCTCAAGGCCCTACAACCGACGAAGATTGAATTGATTCGGTCGTGTTTTGGGAAATTGCTCGATGTCTATTCGAAGCTTGTCTTCTCCGGGAAATTGGCCCATTTCCTGTTGACCCGCCAGTTGAATGTTGTGAAGCGACACATTGGGTGGTCTTTGCCGAAAAACCCATACGGTTTTCCCTGAGAGAGTATGGTTTGGTCACTGGGTTAAACTGTCTCCCTCTTCCCCCTCTGGACCGTTCTTTACTTAGGGCTCCTCCGGGCGTGACGCCATATTGGTTTACTCTTTTCGGCGGCGAGGAGTCTATCACCGGCGAGATTTTGTTGAGCAAATTGCGGAGGCCAAAGTCTCTGACCAAAAACATATGGACGAAAATTAGAAAAATTAAACCACTAACCTAATCGCGTAGATATCTATTAACAAATGTAGCACTTATAGTTCGATATATGACTCTATGAAAGTATACGAACATGTATCTAAATTTATAGATAAATATTAATTCGCCTATGCTCCATCGTCTTCTTCCTTTTCACTCTAAATTTTCTTGTTTTGGTATTATATTTTATTTATCTAAATCTTGATCCATCTCCACATATATCCTTACATCTGCATCTATACTTTGTAGATTTATTTGTGAAGATCCAAAAAATATTTTAGATCCTTATTTGTATCGTAAACGTTATCTTTTCCGATGAATCAACAATAGCGGTGTGAATAATAAACATGACGCTGTTTTTCTTATCGGTTTGAATGAATTGAAACAGAGTTGAGAGAGATATGAACATAAGATCTGGATCTATACTTTGGAGATCCAATTGTGAAGATCCAAAAAATGTTTTAGATTCTTATTTGTATCATCAAAAAAA